TTTTGACGTTGAAAATATTACACACACTTAAATAAACGCAAAATTTCAATTTATCTTAGTATGAAATGTATAAATAATTTTGAACAAAACAGAAACGTCTGATCATTTCGTCTTTCTTACCTAGAGTAATTACTTTATAATGAATCAACTTGAAACTTTCTAGAAATACACTGCACACATTTCTCAACATTTTAACAACAAAAAATGAAACCTTTCTAATATAAGAGACCATCGATGCATAAATTTTGAATGTTTCGTAGATATATTGCTTTTAAAACAAAAACTTTCTTAGTAATGAATTTGTCATGGTCGCTAAGATTTCAATTTTACAATTCATAAGAGTCATTAAATACGCATTGAAATGTTTCTATTTGACTTCTTTTTATTTGTAACATTACAAAGTAAAACTATAAGTGGGTAATTATTGTTAGAAATAAAATATTCGATAAAAATTCTTTATACGATATTAAAGAGAATTTCTTTGTTATATTATTAAAGACGTAGAGCGAAACAGAAATTTTGTCATAATGTTTCTAGTTAATGTGTCTCTTGTTGAATGCGACTAACGTAAAGATAGAGATAAAAATTCTTTTTGATTAAAAATTTTAATTTAGTTTACCAAGAATAGCATTTTTTAGTTTATTTTCTTTCTTAGTAATTAAAATGCTACGATAAAATTTTTCTGACATAAATATGTCGAAGTGGTGTTTTTTCATAGATTACATTTTCTTTCACAAAATCCGTTAGTATTTATGGGTCCATGACTTTAAACTTCATCGGAATTATTTCGAGCTTTAAATATTAGACCAGTGTTATTCAATTTCCGTAGGTTTTATAAAAACAAAGCGATTTCACTTTTATTAAACTTTACTATGATGGATAAATGCAAAAAAATATATTTGCGTGAAAATTCTATAAAATAACACAATAGGCAAAATTATTTTTGAATATTTATAGAGCAAGAGTTGTTTAACCAAAAAGCGTTAAATATAACATTTGACTTGAGAGAAAACAGCACATCTCCTATAGAGATCATTATGACTGTCTATGAATGACATCTATCTTAAGACTACTCAGTGGAATTTTAGAATTCCTGACTGGCCAAATTTGATAACTGATCAAAATAGTTATTGCGTCTAATGTTTGAAATAGTAAAAATGAAAAAGTAATTATTTATAGATGCCAATTCGATTTATTTTTATTCATTTTCCTTCATACAATGGCAACAAAACGTAAACTTCCTGATAATCCAAATTCTGAATTAGTCGATTTTCTTCATGGTATTTTAATTTTAATTAACTTTGCTTTTTCTATTAATCTTTTGTTTTTTGAATTTCAATTTAGAATTAGCTGATTATGAAAAAAATGTCTCCCGATTGATACATAAATATAATGCTTATCGAAAAGCAGCTAGTTCAATTGCTAAAATTGATCATAAAATTGAAACAATAAAAGATATTAAAGGAATAGTAAGAATATTCGCAATTAAAAGACTAAGAAAATCTTTTTTATTTTCGTATTTTAAAAGGAAGGTATAGGCAAAAAAATTGAAGCAAAAATTGAACAATATTTATCAACTGGAAAAATAAAAAAATTAGAAACTAATCGAGGTGATGAAACTGGTGCAGCTATTAATCAAATGACACGTATTATGGGTATTGGGTAAGAGCAATTTCTCTTTTAATTATTCAGTTTTTTATTTTTGTTGAACTCATTAATTGTTTTACCAAAAAACAATTTCATACAAGTTTAAGTCGATATTTTGTCAACTTATTTCCTACTTTCAGCATCTTCATCCATAAAGATCACTCCGTACACATTATTTTTAACAACCGATGGCATAGATCAATGAGTACACTTTCTTTGTCACACATAGGCGATAGTTCAGCAATAT